TGGTCCTTTTTAGCCTCTGGTCATCAATACATGTAAATGTTATGAATAAGATCTAAGAGGAAATTTTGTGTCAATTTAATGGTTGATGTTTGTATTGAATAACTGAATTGCAACTTTTAATTTCACTTTGGAATTTTTGCAGAATAAAAATATTTGAATTAACAAGTTAATTAGGGCACCTCAGGACAGTGATGGAAAAAACTAAAAACTATATTCACTTTATTGCAGTGATCATATTGTTTTATGATAAAAACAAGCCATTTTGCTCTGGATGCAATTATTTGTGGTAAAGAAGTACTTTGGAATTATAGGTGATTTTTCAATTTTATGAGCATTTCTGTCAGCTGAAAATAACTACTGATTTGGGCTCTCCTTGGAAAAAGAGGTGGAAATTATTAACTTTATATGGAGGCATCGTTTAGCCATCAATCAGATATATTACTCTGGAAGCAGTGGAATATTGTTTTAAAATGTTTAGAATTCTGTAATGTAAGCCCAATCAAAGAAAAAGTCAGGTGTGGAAAAGTGATAGATGTGTGATTCAGAGACTCTGAGACTGATGCTGACTCAGTGTGCAGCAAGGTGCTAATTGCATGCGCTGTAGACATTAAGTATAAAAGCAGTTCAAAGCCTGCAAGATCCAGGTGGGCTTGGGTGCTGGTTTACAAGATAGTATGTGGTGTTTTTCATCATGCCCGTGTTGGGACACCAAAAAGGCCACCCAGTGTTTCCCATAAAATGTTATTCAGGTATAATTCACATCTTTTGTGATTAACCCTCCATGCTTTATTATATGTAAGCATAGCTCCTGTAGTTCTAGAAATGAGAAGACTAACTGAAAGATGCTATATTGGTTTGTTATATCCTAATTCCTAGAGAAATGTGTTCCTGCTAACTCTTTTGCTTTTCTTCACATCCTCTGAAATTATGATTTGCCTCCAACTATAATCTCTGCCAGATACAAATAATAATAACCAATAATTTTATGTCAGTGAACTGTGTACTACACAGTGTTCTAGATACTTTTCATATATTGACCCATTTTGATCCTCACCTCAACCCTATGAGGTAGGTAATATTATTTTTCCCATTTCAAAGATGGGGAAACTGAGACAAACATTACACAGGTAGAAAATGACATGTACTTAATACCACAGAACGGTTATTTTAAAAATGATTAAGATGTTAAATTTTATGTTATGTGTATTTTACCACAATAAAAAATTTCTAAAAAGTGACAGAGGTAAGCTATGAACCAGAGCCTCTGATCTTAGCCCTATTCTCCTCTGCTTAGCTTGAATTAACAAATCCCAAGTAAAGTTTTATTATCAGTGTTTTAAACATTATTTTAACAATGTGGTAAGTTAGACAGCTCTAACGGTATTAGAGACGTCTCCAAGAAGCTTGTTCAGCAATTTCTTTAATTTCCACTAGAGGTCAGTCAATCACCTGGCAATGTGAATATTGTTTCCTTTCTGTTACTGTAAGTACAAAATTTCAAGTATACCAAATTAAAGAAGTATGCTGTGAAAGAGACTTGGATAATAGCAGAATAATATTTTGAATTAGAAACATAATCAAAGAGTCATCTTTATAGTAGTAAAAGCATATATGACTACTATAAGACCCAATATTGGCTCAGTAGATTGTATTTGCAGATATCCTGCAAATAAAGATATCCTGTGAGATGATAGCTGGCATAGAAAAGGCTAATGACCTTGACCTTTCTTTATTGCCTCTAAACTAACTACACAGTAAACGTTAAAACTAGTATGCCAAATTCCTTTTCTTGATTCAGTTAATTCAATCAAGGACTTAGAATATACTCTGAGGGTAATGAAATAAAATTATTTTAGTTTTCACTAATTGATACTCCCTGGTAAGTTTAAGGCAATAAGAGTTTTGTAAAAAACTCTTAGACCCATATTGCCTTCATTTCTCAGCTTTCAAGTTTTAGAAATAACGAAGTATTGAATTGAGATGCAGAAACCAATAGCCTTCATTTAGGAGTAGCATTTTGAGGTAACTTCTGTGATTGTAAAAGAGGAGAGTCATATTTTGGAGGGGTCAAATATAGTTATTTGGGGAGTCCAGCATGGTCCTGAGTACAGAGTACTTTATTAGTTGACCAACAATGTTAGTTATATGTATGCAATGGTTCTGGCTACTGTCGGTTACATAAAGCCTTTCAGGCAGCCTTCAAACAAATGGAAACAATCTGACTTGACTTCAGATTTGTCACACTGGAAGTGAATGGCGACATGCAGAAGAGGCCAGGCCAGGGAGGGAAGTTAGACAGGAGGGGTGCTCAGCAGAGTTTGTGGGTATGGATAGGTAATAAGTGAAATCTAGGGGATCATTAATAGAGCAAGGGACAAGCGAGTCCTGGAGATAAATAGGCAGAAGCAGAGAAGATATTGGGGTTCCAGGTAGACAAGCTAAGACTTGAGAATTCTTCAAAGGCAGCAGAGAAGAACAAATGAACATGAAGGTTAGAGTTTATGATTTCTAACTGTACTTTCCCATTATTGTGTATTTTTATATGTCAGGTACTGTGCTAAGATGCTTTATAGATGAATATATTATCTCATTTTCTCCATGTAATAATCTTAGGAGGCAGATTCCAATCTCCTTTGACAGCCTAGGTGACTGTAGAGTCTCAGTAACTTGCCCTGGTCACATAGCTTGTAAATGGTAGAACTGATAGTTGAACCTAGGGCTGTGCGACTCATCTATGAAACCCTCATTCCAGACACAGATGGTATTTCTTTCTTTGCCCCAGTTTTTATGCTGCCTGCAGTGTAGAGACAGTCACAGGCTTACCTGTGGTGGGAAATTAACCGCACAGATAAACCCCATTACAACAAAAGTGGAGGGTTATAACTTCCAGGGAGGTGGGGTGGGGGACATTTTTGTTAAAAATGTGAAGTTCCCTAACCTTTGCCTATAAACCGTAGTAAAGACCTATATTCTCCATGTGGCAGTGATTAGATGGTGAAGCCATCTCTCCTATTTCTCACTACTTTGTTGTTTTTTTCCCTCCCCTAAAATCCACTAATTATCTTACTAGGTGTTCTCTCTGGTGGCTTGGTTTTTCATAAATGACACTCCTGGAGGTGCCCCCTCAAGGACTTTCTAGAGCCTTAATAGGAGGCGTAGTGGGCCAGCCTAAAAGGAAGTTTAGGGATCACTAATTTGGTGTGTCACTATACTTTCGTCCCTTTATTTTTACACCTGCAGGCAGCAGTGCTTCTGAGACCTTTTAGTCCTTTAAAGATAGCTTTGATCCTAGATCTCTTTCTGCTTGGGATATGTTTTTGAAGGGATGAGGACAGAATGTCAGCTTTCTTCTCCCAAAGTCACCCGTTGCTGAATTTCCCCTGTAATCTGGGCTTTCATTATTTCCTCCACGTTGATGGTGGTGCTAGACCTGGGGAACAGCATTTATCTTTTGTTTTTTGACCTAACTGACTGGTTAATGGTGAAAGAGCTGTCAGCTAAGAATGCTTTTAACAAGGTCCTCTTTCTTGTGGTCTAACCAGGGTCTATCTGTGGTCAACTGCAAAAAGTATTTCCCAAGTTCTCCCCCTTTTTCCGTCTGAAGTTCCTTGAAAGTGATACTTAGGAAGGGTGCATCCACAAGCTGTACAAGAGCAAGCAAAAGGAAAGTGCTCCTTTTTATATAGCTTTTAATCTCTTGGGTAAAACTTTGATTTATTTTGACAAAATAATACAGAATTCTTAACCTGAAGTATAATATAGCATCGGATCCACAGGTGCCAAAAGTCCCTTCTAAGCCGTTAGCAGGGTTCTGTAAGGCCAGACTGCTCGCTTTCTTCCAAGAGGCTTTTGAGATTGAATTTACTCATCCCTGTTTTTAATCCATGAATGCCCCAAGTCAGCTCTCTCTCCTCTACTTGCTATTTCAGAGAGAAGGAAGATAGTTGATAAGAATTTACCTACATCCAAATTTATAAACCTAATTGGATCTGCACTCCTCTATTCTTCTTCAAGTAACTTCCGAACTGGCTTTCCTGCTCATTTCCACTCTTGACTCTCTCACATCCTACAACTAAAGTCATACTTTACAAACGCAAATCTGATCATGGTACTCTTAAAACGTATTTATTGCTTTGCAGTGCTTTTAGGATACAGCCTCAAATCTTTAGCTAGTTACAAGGCCCTATAGGAAATGGCCTCTTGCCTACCTCACCATCTTTAACTGGCAGCAGCATAACCCTCTTCACCATCCAGCTGTAATGGCCCTCTTCGATTGCTTCAAATCTGCCAAGCTCTTTCCTGGATCCTCCTTTTGGAATGCATTCTTTGCTTTTCCTAGCTAACTGCTCGTTGTCCTTCAGAGTTCTGCTCAAATGTCACTCTTTCATAGAAATCTCAATGTAGACCTATCTCTTTTAATGATCAAGTTAATTGCATTATTTTCTACATGTTTTTATTGCCAGAAAGTTCAGGATCTCCCATTTGAGGACCCTCCCTTCACTTTGTGGGTTGTCTAAGAACCTGGAGGTTCCAAAGGACTTAGTTTCATGCACCAGGTGGAGAGTGAGCTGGAAATCTGGTAAGTACGATATAGCTGTGCTAAGAAAGACTGTTGAAGACTGACACTGCATAGCCCAAAGGGGCAAATTATCTACTACATTGTGATGACCTTCCCAAACCACAGAATGTATTATTAGATTACATTTATATACTCAGTCATTGTTCCTCAAAGCATTATCTTGTGTAATGGTGGTTATAGGCTGGGCTAGAGTCACCTTTCCTTCATAAACCCTTGGCTTGAGTTAAGCTTGAGTCCCCAGCTCAGAGAGCTCCTGCCTAGCAAGCATTCTTGTGACATTTAAATCCCTTCTTGCCAGAACACATTGGTCAGGGCCATGTCAGGTTTACCCCAACAGGTTGCCCTCACTTTGAATCCCAAGGAATATGCCCAGAAGGCCTGTGGGCTTTGCATTCCAAGAGAAAAGGTAGTTAGTTTTAGGTTGTACCCTCAAGCAAGGTCCTATGATACCCAGGTATAGGATACTTACTGATTCTTGCAATCTGTCACTAAGGAAAGCAACTCAAGTGACTTCACAAAATAAAGAAAATTAACTCCAAGAAGACTTTTGCCTCTCCCTGTACTGAGAAGCACCTCAGAGACTTTCTAGCTAAAATAATTTAATCTATACATCTTGGGCATTCTATTTAATCTCTGCTTTAATAGCCACCCTTTTATTCACTTGTTGATCTATTATCCTTGTGGCTATTTGTTTAAATGTCTGTCTTTCCTGCTATACTATAAGCTCCAAGGAAAAGGCAACTATTTCTGCTTTCTTTATTGATGTATCTTCAGTGACTCTCAAAGTGCATTGTACATAATTAACATTCTATGCATATTTGAGAACTCAATGGAACTGTAAGTTTTCCAAAGTAGAATTTTAATAATAACTTCTAAAAATTCAGAAGATATTTAGAAAAGTAAAGGCATGTTAATCATATCCCCTGTCATGGAACTAATTAAAATTCAACAAATAGAATGAAAAACAAAGACAAAAATTTCATGAAATTAGGAAATGGCTCAGTTCCAGGCTATGGACTAAGAAGTATAGTGAAATATGGCTCAAATTTACGAAGGATGCTACAAGCTGGTACATGCTTCTCTAGGTTATAAACAGTGCGAATTTCACTGAAAGTAAATGGGAGGCCCCGAGTGTTCTGTCCTGTGAGATTTAGGAGTTGGGGCAAGCCATGTGAAAAATTGGAAAATCCCCAAGGAAGCCAGTTTCATGTCTCAGAATAGAGGGAGGGAGAGGTGAGGCTAATTCCCTTAATATCTTTTATACTCAACTTCTAATCTATAATGAAGTGAAGGGGAAAGAAGAGAAAGAAATACAATGAGCTTTACAGAAGTTGACCAGAATCAAATGAACAGAAATGAATAAGCAATAAATTAGCAGACCAAAGTTGGCTAAACTGCTTCACTCTAAGCATATAGATAAAGTAAATTTCAGATTAAGAATTATCTGGGGAAACAGAAATCCCAGAAAAATATATCTATATTCACTCAAATAATTTGAAGGGAACACGGGATTTTTGACTATTGGAATTAAGGAAAGCAAGGCAATCCCTCTCTGGTGGTGAGAATCCTGGGGATGTGAGACTTTGGAGCTGTTGGCAGCCATGTTTCCTGCTTTGGGAAGAAGGTTGGTATGTCTGTGATAGAAAGAGCTAAGTCAACACATAGAAGCAGAAATAAAAGACAAAAGAAACACCTTGGTTGAGATAAACAGGTAAGGTGGCAGTGGTGTTTGAGTCTGTGGTTCTAGTTATCCCTGAGGCCCAGCTGCTCTTTTTTTTTTTTGACATAAAATATTATATTAGTTTCAGGTATACAGCATAGTGATTAGACATTTATATACCTTACAAGGTAATCACCCTGATACATCTATTACCCATATATAGTTATTACATAGTTATTACAATATTGACTATACTCCATATGCTGTACTTTACACCCCCGTGACTATTACTATTACTGGAAATTTGTACTTCTTAATCCCTTTCACCTTTTTCACCCATCCCTTCCAACCTCCTCCCATCTGATGGCCATCAATTTGTGTCTGTATCTATGAGTTTGTTTCTGTTTTGTTTGTTTATTTTGTTTTTTACATTCCACAAAAAAATGAAATCATGTAATATTTGTCTTTCTCTGTCTGACTTATTTCACTTAGCATAATACCATATAAGCCCATCCATATTGTCACAAATGGTAAGATTTCATTCTTTTTATGGCTGAGTAATATTCCATCATATATACAGAGGGTGCCAAAAAATGTGTACACATTTTAAGAAAGGAAAAAACGATTAAAATTGTAATAATATATACTGATAACAAAAGATGAATACAAGTCATGTTTGACTCCTGCAATTATAAGAGGTGCTCATAGTGGTTACTGTCAGCATTTAGACACTTCTGATTACGGTGAACTACTGCTTGAGCAATATTGATCAAAGTGTTCACTAATATACATTTTTTTTTGCATTTTTTGGCACCCCTGGTATATACCACGTCTTCTTTATCCATTCATCTATCGATGGACACTTAGGTAGCTTCCATATCTTGGTAATTGTAAATAATGCTGCAATTAACATAGGGGTGCGTATATCTTTTTGAAATAGTGTTTTGGATTCCTTTGGATACCCAGAAGTGGAATTGCCCAGCTACTCTTTATGCATTTCCTACAGTTGTGAGAGGTACTTCAGTGTCCTTCCAATACATTCTTTTCGTCTAAGCTAGTTCAAGTGAGGCTTCTACTATAGGCTTGCAACTAAAAGTTTTATCTAATATAGATAATAAAGATGGGCAGAGAAGATCCAACATATGCATCACTGATGTACCTGATAAAGAGAGCAGAACAAATGGATAGAAAAATTTTAGATATACAATGGTGAAAAAAAACCTTCAGAGATTAAGGAAATTCATAATTTATAGATTAAAAGGGCACACAGTTCTAAGAAAAACTGAGATAGGATGCTCAATACCAAGTAAGCATATAAGAGTAAAGTTAGTGTGCTTCAGGGTTAAAAAAAGAATCTTAATAGGTCTCCAGGTAGCAACAGCAAATCACCCAACAGGGGAAAATCAGACTGGCCTCAGACATCATGGTAACAGTCAAAGCCCAGAGGCAATGGAGCAGTATCTCTAGAGCATCGGTGGGGCACATGTGAGCAGACTTTATAGCTAGTCAAGCTATGGTTTATTTATAAAGGTATCAAACAATATTCTCAAACATCCAAGGACCTAGTTCCTGAAAAATTACCTCATGAATAAAATTAGTCATCTAAGTGATAAATAAGGAAAGAACTTGGGAATGGAGAAGCAGATGTATGAAAGGATTGGTAGAACAAATGGAATCCTTTTAAATGTAGAACTAAGTCAAATCTAAATAACTGTACATGTTATGAAAACAGAAGAAAATGTAAAGGGTATACAATTAATAATGAAAACAGGAATTATGTAATACATATAAGGTGGGGAATATAGAAGAGGTAAAGTTATGTGTAAGTATGTGAACTCATTCTTCTTAGTGGAGAGCCAGTAGATACAGCCTAAAGTTGATGAATTCGTTGGTCTGAGTGGAAATCTTGACACTGCCACATATCAACTGTGTAACCAGTGTAACCATCTGTGTCGCAGAACATCCATCTGTGTCATGGAGAGAATGACATTACCCACCTGCTAAGGTTGCCGCAAGGATTAAATGTACTAATGTTAGGTGAGTGCCCAGGACAGTGCCTGGCACTGCATAAACATTCCATAAAAAGTACCAATTATTGTTATTATTTTAAGGAGAAAAATGTGGGCAGGTAGTTTTATAATCTCAGGACAGCGAAGGTCTTTCGAAGCATAGTTTTAAGCCCAGAGACCAAAAAGAAAAAGATTAATAATTTGACTTCATAAAAAGTAAAAGGTTTTGAATGGCAAAATCACCATGATAAGAATCAATGAACAAATACTCAAGTGGGAAAGAATAATGGCAATGTATTTGACAGAAGAAGGATTGATATTGTTAATTAATATTCAGGGATCACTGATAAATCAACAAGAAAATACGAGCAACCCAGTATAAAACTGAGTAATCGATATGAACAAATATTTTACATAAAAATAAAAATTTCACAATACTTAGTCTTATAATTAAAGAGGTAGACATTAAAATGAGATGTCATTTTTCATTTATCAAATTGACAAAGATGAAAAAGTTTGAAAATATCTAATGAGGGAAAGGATATGGTGAAATAGGCATTCTTATATCCTTTCTTGAAGGCAATTTTGCATTTATTAAAATTATAAATGCTCATACATTTTATCTCTGCAATGCTACTTCTAAGAATCTATTTTACAAAAATATTTATTTTAGGGTACAAAGATATATGTAAAAGGATGTTTATAGCATTGCTTATAATAGAAACAATTTGGAAATAATTTACTTGACTATTGTTATTAGTTTGTTAAATAATTTAAGGTGCTTATATACCTTGGAATATTATATATAGCCATTAAAACAAAAGATGTGTAAATATATGTAAAAATAATGGAAAAATGGCCAGGCTACAATATTTAGGGAAAGAAGCATGTTACATGAGAGTAAATATAGTAGATCTTATTTGGAAAAAATAATATATAATTTGTTCTTATTGTAATATAAATGCACAGAAAATTTCTATAATGTGCCACAAGAATCATTAAAAGTTGTTGTCTCTGAGGTGGAGAGTGGAGATGCTGTGGATTTTAATTTTCATTTGATATCCTCTGGACTCTTCCCATTTTTATTACAGCAATCATCTTTTAATTTTATAGTAATTAAAAACAAACACAAATAATCTTTGATTGGTGGTGCTGGTAACTATGTTGCTTTTGAAAATGGAATTTAATATTTTGGGAATAAAGTTACTTTGTGTAAATAGCAAAACAAATCAAGTAAGTTCAACTAACGTTTATTCAACAAAAATTAAGTAAACCCCTACTTTGCATGAAGCACTGAACTGAGTGCTCCTGATGCTTCTAAGCCTGTGTAA